CAGAAATTGCTGGAGCCAGCTAGGAATAAGGAGAAGGCCGAAACGGCCCATGTGGCTCAATCCGAGGAGGACGAGCCAGCTCTCTTCATTGTAACTGCATGCGTCCCCAATTTCGATTCCAAATCCGACGACAATGTTGAACCCAAGAAAGAGCTCCAGTTGGGCGTAGCAAAGATGGCACCAGCTCCAGTTGGGCGTAGCAAAGATGGCACCAGCTCCAGTTGGGCGTAGCAAAGATGGCACCAGCTGGGGAGCCAAGCTCTCTTCATTGTAGCTGCATGCGTCCCCAATTTCGATTCCAAATCCGACGACAATGTTGAACCCAAGAAAGAGCTCCAGTTGGGCGTAGCAAAGATGGCACCAGCTGGGGAGCCAATTCAACTGGAGGAGGAGCGAGTGTTCGCTCAGATCGGCGAGAGGGACGAGCAACACGAGCACCAGCAATGGATCCTTGGATCCTTGACACAGGGGCAACAAACCATATGACCGGGGCTAGATCTGCGTTCTCCGAGCTCGACTCGGGGATCCGTGGGACGGTGAAATTCGGCGACGGCTCCGTCGTCGAAGATCGAAGGGCGCGGCACCATCCTGTTCCTCAGTAAGGGAGGCGAGCATCGCAAGCTGACCGACGTCTACTACATTCCGAGGCTCAAGGCTAACCTTGTGAGTCTGGGTCAACTCGATGAGACAGGTTGCTTCATTTCCATCGAGCGCGGACTACTGAAAATCTGCGATAATCAACGACGGCTGCTCACGCAGGCAAGGCGCACCACAAACCGTCTTTACATCCTGGAGTTAGAGATAGACCAACCCGTTAGCCTCTCGGCCAAGACCGAAGAGGTACGGACACTTAAACTTTCCTGCCCTAGAAAAGCTACAGAAGAAGGAGTTGGTGCACGGCTTGCCAGAAATCAAAGGCGTGAACAAGCTGTGCGACGGGTGCCTCATCGGCAAACAGAGGCGCACACCCTTTCCGTCTCGAACAGCCTACCGAGCCGATGAGCCGTTGGAGCTTGTACACGGCGATATCTGCGGGCCCATCAAGCCTGCGACCCCAGGCGGTAAGAGTCTCTTCCTCCTGTTAGTCGATGACAAAAGCCGCTTCATGTGGCTGACTCTGCTGCAAGCGAAAAGTGAGGCGGCAGAGGCGGTTAAGCGCATTAAAGCGCGAGCGGAGGCCGAATGTGAGAAGAAGATGCGAGTGCTGCGCACAGACCGAGGCAGAGAATTCACCTCGGCAAGTTTCAGTAAGTACTGCGACGAGATCGGCATACAACGGCACCTAACGGCGCCCTACTCCCCCCAACAGAACGGAGTGGTAGAGCGCCAAAATCAGACCATTGTCGAGACAGCGAGGTCATTGTTGGTGACGGCTGGGATGCCTGGGAGATTCTGGGGAGAGGCAGTAATGACGGCTGTCTATCTCCTCAATCGGTCACCAACCCGAAGCCTCGACAGGAAGACGCCATATGAGGCCTGGTACAACAAAAAACCAACAGTACATCATTTTCGCGTGTTCGGCTGCGTCGCATACATGAAGGTAACACGTCCCCATCTCGCCAAGCTCGATCCCAGGGGGCTGAAGGTCGTCTTCATCGGCTACGAACCCGGGAGCAAGGCGTACAGACTCTATGATCCTATAGGGGGGCGAGCTCACGTGTCACGCGACGTCGTCTTCGACGAAAGCACCTTCTGGCAGTGGAATGACGTGATCGAGGCAGACCGTAATCCAAATCAATTCACGGTGGAGTACCTCGTCACCGAGCCTGAAGAAGGAGGAGCCCAGCATCAGGAGACGTCACCGCCGCCAGCAGGTGCACCACCTGAACCAGTGGAATTCGCAACACCACGGACTGCGGATTCGACGCTGGATGCCGATCACGATACTGATCTGGAGGCTAGGTACCGGAGGATGGATGACCTAGTGGGAGGAGGTGAACCACTTGAACTAGCAGCGCGCGAGCTCGAAGAAGTGGCCGAACTACATGCCGTCAGTGCAGATGAACCAAACACCTTCGCCGAAGCAGAAAAGAACCCGTGCTGGCGGAAGGCAATGCAGGAGAAGATGACATCCATCACTGATAACCAGACGTGGAGTCTGGAGGATATGCCACCGGGACACCGAGCCATAGGGCTCAA